CAGCAGCACTGTAACACTTCCTGAGCTGACTGCACCCCCTAGCTGTGATGAAGAGAGTAACACCGGTTTATCAGTGAATGTGTGTCCTGTGAGCATTTTTAATAAAACGTCTGGGCTGCTGCTTCTGTCAGTCAGCTACACCAGGACAAAACCTCTTTCCTTAAACAAGACTAAAGAGTGCAGTAACACATGCACAAAGTCAAAGACTCGCTTTCTAATCTCAGATCTGTTCATTTATGCAACAAATAAATTAATCTCACGTTCAGATTTCTGCTTGAAACAGAAGGTGACATCAGAGCCATCAAACACTGTGACCTCATTACAAGGAAAAACTTCATGTCTGGCTGCAGAGAAAACAGTGGTCTGCCCCTGCTGGTCCAGGAACGCATAACATACCATCAGCACGCGTTTGATCTTGGTGTTAATCCAGCAGAAATCCTTTATTTGGAGGGTTTAGCACCTCAGAGGATGAGAAGACGGAAACAGGGCTTAAAACAGAGAAACGTTCTGTGCCTCAACAAGTGGAGAGGAAATCAGATACCACATTTCGTGAATTCTGGACAGTTTTTAATGCACCCCTCTGCACCTTCTCTCCATCAAACATTGTACAAATGTCCACGATTAATACATTTCTTTTAAGCCATTTATCACCCTCTGCATTTTAATAATTCACGTGTTTAATCAAAGGGTTCTGCTCGTGTTCAAAAGTCACAAAAATCTGTTTTGGGAGCAATTTTAACAAAACTGTACATCAACCTCTTCATTCAGATTAGCAATTAATCTAGAAAGCTACACATGCATAGCTGAAAAACATCATGCAGGTGTTCCTCAGAGGGAAAACAAAACTGTTGTATCCAAAGTATAACTTTTTAGAAAAATTCACAAGTATCCAACACAACTGTTTCAAACTTTTCAGTTAATTCCTGCACCCTCAAAGAGGTTTAGGCCATCCAAGGAAACAAGCAGTCATATATTCTTGTTATCTAATAGCTTAACCCTTTAAGACCTACCATAGAACCAAGTCCGCCAGAGCTTATATTATATATTTACATGCTGTGGAGCCATTTTTGGGAGCATTTCAAGTTG